TGAAAGAAACGTGAAGTTGAAGATGAAAGAAACGTCATACTGGAAAATAATTCGGATGAGTTTCGTTGATTGTCACCATGTTTTAAAAAACTTGGTGCACTGAAATATGCACTCGATGATTTACTAATAAATAGTTGATTTACCGAAGTGGACTGTACAAACACGGAATATTGAGATAATTGACCCGATAATTTACGATGATATTTGATACTTTTACCGATGAATTTCCCGATAACTGCGCCGATGTGCGCCCTGATAATTTTCTATGATTCGTTCCTGATGAAATTCGATGGTGTACTGATTACCATGGAACACGCTCACGACTTCGTACGCGCTCGTCGAAGGTCGGGAATTTTCGTAAGAGACGAGGAAATGAGTTGGCCCAAAATGAAGGCCAGATTTTGAACACTTCTTGCTACACAAAATGTGGATATAAGTTCTTTCATGGGTGCCTGTGTTCCTATACCATTTGACGAGAATGAGAACCAATTTTATCAGCGATAGTTAATACAACCTATAATGCGTTTTAAACGGGCATGGTCCACTGAAATATAACTATACTGGAAGATGTACTGAGCTCTCGGTTCTGTGCGAGAGAGAAAGAAATTCGTGGGGCCACATGTCCTTGTTGTACCGTCCGTTCAAGAAGTATCGGCAACCGCCACTGATCTATATATAAAATGGTCCTTTTGACTGTGTACCCAATTGGACGTCGGCCATCTTAGCAGGCAAAATTCTGCGCATGCGTGTATGAAGATTCTAATTGGAGATATTTATTGTGAAGTCGAGCAAAAAATTTTTTTTTAATGTACAATTGTGAAGGTAATACCACTAATCAAGGATTATTCTTCGGCATTCTATCTCTCAGCCAATTATTCCCCTTCATTTTTCACCCGTAACGTGAGAAAGCTGAAGTATCTTTTAAACTCATTTTAAACTCCCGCGTACTATGGCAAATTGCCGTCTAAAATGGCGTCCGTCTAATTGGGATCATTTCTGAAACCTGCCAGCCTAGGCCGTCTGCTAACCAATTATATTTAGATCAGTGGCAAGTGCAGTACGGCTACATATTGAGAGCATGTCAAGACGAGTAATGCGCTGGTTCAAGGTTACAACGCAATTCCTCTATCCCATTAAATGCTGCTCTATCTTTTAAAGAGGAATTCTGAGAAGAAATGTCAAAAGACTGTGTTTGGAGAGGAACTAGGTTTAGGGTGAATTGTGGGAAGTGGGTGAAAATGTGAAGGCTGGAAATGATGAAATTCACTGATTATAAAATACACTATTTATTAGTGGAATTGAACCACTTCGTTATTTGAATATATACACTTAAATCAGTCTCTTTCACTGGTTGAGTTACTGAGTTGATAAACCACTGTTAATTCACTGATAAACTATCTGTGCTAATTGTCTGCCATAATTACTTCAACGGGTTAATATAAATATGGTGATGTACGTTACACGTTGAGAGACGCGGCGACGCGCGCCTTATGTTAACACTGTTCTAATACGTTGATAATTCGCTGCTGATATACCTAATTATACGCTTATTATACCCTATATTTGATATTCTAATCTATTACTTTTAATATGGAGTGGAGAGACTAACTAACAACTGAACTATTACTGCCTTTACATGCTGAGACGTGGGATCTCAGAAGCTACGCCCTACACTGAGACTCTACGACGAATAGATTGCTACTCGATGAGAGACTAACGTGATACTCGATGGGACTAAAATGATACTGAAAATCTGTGAAAATCCTTTCTGGGTGATTCGCTGGCCGTTGACCGTTGACCCGAAGTGTCCCGATTAATTTTGAGGATTACCGAATCATTTGAGCGCTAAATGATAGAATGATAGCTACGTTTCAAACAGACTGCTGTTGTCAGAAATTTATACAGCCACAAAAAAGATCTTATATTTTTTTCTAAAATTAATCAGTTCCTAGATAAATATCTGTAATTTAGGATGGGAGGTTCTCCCTCACGCGGCGTACTCGCCTGATCTCGCCCCATCCGACTACCACCTATTTCGGTCTCTTCAACACCACCTAGCTGATGAGCACTTCAAAACAATCGACGAGGTCCGAAAAACCATCGATAAATTTCTTGAGTCAAAACCGCCAAGTTTCTTTCGCGAAGGAATTCGTCAGTTGCCAGTGAGGTGGAGTAAAGACATCGAAAATAATGGGGAATATTTCGAGCGTTAAATGTCTTTTTGTTTTTTTATGATAAACTCTGATTTTCATGAAAAAAAGCACCTTATTAATTTATACACCTAATAACTTCGATATGATTGGTGAAAAATGCCTGAATTGTGTCCTCAATTATCCGGATTTTTTTTCACCGTTCATGTCTCATAATTTATTTTTTTATGCGTGCTAACTATTGGACGATTATTATAAAGAGCCAGGCCAAACATTGCGGATATACAGACGGGTAAACTTTCTAGTTAGATGATCCATCACGTGGTTTAGCCCTTAGAGCGCATGCGCAGAGGGATAGAAAAGGACAGGTGGCCTCACCTTAATAGGCTATCTCACAAAATCGTTCCTCTCACGCGTTCAGCCCGGTACTACACCTTCCAGGATAGTTATATTTCAGTGGCATGGTCAGGTCGCAACATATAAACATATTGCATCCGGATTTGATTCGCTCGGGTTTTTTTCCCAATGCAATTCCAATCGTTAAAGATTTGACAATTGGGAACTCAGATGGAGGCGGGGTGTAGGTCGCGGACCTTACATGCAGGGGTTCACATTTTCGCCACTCGAAAGTAGCTCCTTGGGAAAGACTATGGAGGATAGAAGGGAAGGAGGCCGAATGCTAGCCATGAAGAATAGAGACCAGGAGGCCGAACTAACGTTTTCCGAAGCAAGATCATAGTCGGGGTCATGAGGTAGTTATTGGTGGCGCTTCGGTCGGTTTACTGAATGGCAGTAGTGGGGGAATGCTGTCTGTGTGACTATGTAGGTGTACAGGCTTGTGTATATTAAATTAAAAAATTAATTGTATGTAACATTTAAGAATTAATTGTGTATACGAATTTTGTACTTTCGCGAACAATGGAGGACTTAACTATAGAGTGTGCCATTTAGTTTTGTTCATTTACATAATAATGTGAAAATGGTCAAGAGACCCCCAATTGGGCATCAGCAGTCAAATATGACGAATGTGTATTATTTTTGGAAATCTTGGAAAATGGGGAAGAAAGAAAGAAAATTGTCATAAACGATTCTCTCAATGCAACAATTTTATATAGGTAACAGCGAAATCATATCCTGGTTAATATGTGATAGAATAAAATCTCTCAATCACCTGGCTATGGTCATAGAATTACTAAATAAATTGAGATTTTTATAAATCACTTTATTTGCAAAATTGTATAATTTGAAACATGCAATGTGTGTAATAAAGGGATATTTTTAAGCAGAAAATGCTGGTAATTAATTTTTTTAAATGATTATATTATAACATTACTATGATAATATAATCTTAGGTTTGGAATTTTTAAATAACATTTGATAACAAATCGAATCCAGGGATATAGTCTCCTACTAATACAATTGTACGGAGTATGTATATATGAGCCCGAGTACCACTGATGAAGCGCCCCCATTCACAACGAGGTAATTAGTTCAAGGAACCACGTTTGGTCGCATATTCTGAGGAATCGGCCATGATACTTCGGCCTCCTGGTCTCTATTCTTCATGATGCTAGGCTTTGAGGAGGGGTCCAAAATTGAGGACACCAGTGAGACACAAATTGTGGCCGCTAGTAGCGCTGACGTCCGTTTCATAGTGTTACCGACCGTATACTGAAGAAACTCAAAGTACATGGATTTATATAATAAGTCATTATTATTTCGATTAATGATAACAATCCATTGCAAGGCACAATAATGAAATTTCAAGTAGTTATTGAATAAACGTTTATATTAAATATAAAAAAGGGAGCCAGGTAGCGAAATAACTTCAATAATTGATTTACTCAAGCTTCACAGAAAACGTGCGAAACAGTACAAATTATTTTATTTAGTCTTATTGAATTTGAAAATTTCAACATTTACAATAAGATTAAAATTAACAATTAACGAATATATATAGAGTATCTCTCGTCTTACTAAATTTTTCAGTAGTTAATTAAACAAATAACTCTGTCGATTATTTTTTTCCTTCTAAATATCAATTGTGGGCCTGCCTAAAAATTTACTCTAAAGGACTTTCACTTTTTTTCTTAAATTTTGAATTTTCTTCTTAGTATCATTCAATCTTTTGAAGAATTTTGCTAAGAAATGACCACGTAACACTACATAGAAATTTATTAGCTGTCTGGTCAATGTATGGCAGTGTTCTCTACATCCAATCAGAGGGAATTCCAGAGTACTTCCAATCATACCTAGTAATTGATCAGATATTCTGAGGACTGTATCAAATTGAATTCCATTCTTGGACACTTCTTCCATAACAATGGCCTCTATTGCTTTGGTTAGGGCAAATAGTCTTGCGGTTGGATAAATAAATATCCTTCTGATAAGAACTGGATAGCTTTATCTCTTTTCTCAGGGTGAGGTGATCGCGAACTCTGAAGACATGCCTGGCACTAGGTATATCGTCCGATTTTTCGAGCAATGTAACCAGCTATATAACTTTGTACATAGTCACTCGTATTCACGATGTGGTAATTGTGATCAAGATCAGGTTGTGTCTCTTACTGGTCTGGTCGTTTCTCGTCTATCTCCATATCTTCGATTGAAGTGTTTGAGATGCAATAATCGTGATCTAAGAGAGGATGATAAGCTGGGAAATCCGTGTTAGTACCCAACGTTGAAGGCGACGTATTCAATATTATTCAGCTCTGCATCTAATAATTCCAACCATTCTTGTTTTCTTGATGAATTTTCAAACTCTGTCTGATCTTTGAGACTGATCAACGTTTCCAATATGTCTCCTCCTGAGATATTGCTATTCTTAGGAAGTTTTGTCAGTGAATATGCACTCATTAAGCGATAACTTTGTGCGAACTGTCTTGCTTCAGGGTGATCGTTGCATCCACATGCTGCTCGAACGAGACCAAAGAACCTTCGGATAAAAACGTTCAGGGGTAAATCAATTTAAATTATTATATTTTATGGGAAAAATTTTGAACTACCATTACCTCGAGTACATCTTGATTGACACGACAAGTCATAAGATATTGATAGCCATGAGTCTCATGAAAATAGTCGCTCAAGGGTCGCCTGAAGAGTAACTTTCAATCCCAACAATGTCGGTGCTGATAAACACTCCAATACTGGCCTACTGACATTGCACAGGGCTTCCCCTTGTTTCAATTATGATAAGAAATCTGCGATAGACTGGAAATGAAAATATTCCATAGTTATAAATAGGATATTATGTTTACCAAGACAGAAAATTCCAACGAGAATTTTTCCCATCCAAATTTCAGCCAATAGAATTTCAGTATTCGACGTATAGCCTAGCGATTTTGTATAGCCTGCACGCGTAAACCCCTCGTTGAAATTGACAGATGGATTCTGTCGCATAGTGCAATTCTCTTGGCCGAAATTTGGATGGAAAAACTTTCTCCCGAATACCACTTGAACTTCAAAATTAATCAGGTATTTTCCTCATGCTTCCCTGCATACAAACGAAATTGTCAAGATTTTCAGGAAAAATCACTCGTGCTTCGGACTCGTGATTTTTCTACCTGAAAAACTTGACTTCTTCGTTTGGTTAAAACGAACCTATCAGGAAATACCTGATAATTTTAATGCTTTCATAGTACATATGAATATATTCATCACCATGCATACCTTCTTGTGCACAGAATTGTGACGTAAGGCTCCTCCTGGAGTCCGAGACATCATGGCTGTGATGAGATCATCGACTTTCTTACAGAATAATCGTGAAGGGAAACTGTCTTTAACATGGAGTGCCATCGCCACTTGAACTTATGGGCAGAATAGCTGAAAATTATTGAAACAAAAAATTATTATTATAATTGTCGGAGCTGTGTAAGTGAAACCAGCAAGACTGAAGATGTAGTATCGTAATACTACACCTACAACGTATCACCGCCGTCAGGTGTCTGAAATGATAAAAAAATACTTTTAATGATGGACATATTATGTCTAGACAGTAAATGGTAAATATAATAGAATATAGTAAATTCTATTTACCATAAAAATTTTGTTTTTTATCACCCAATTACGTAAAGTTTTTATCAAATGGGGGAAATCGGAAAAGAACCATAATTTGTGTTCATCATTCAGAGGATGCTTACACCCAACATTATTTTCAGTAATTTCAAACTTCTTCCACATTTTACGATTCCACGAAGCTCCATCGGCAGTCACTGCCTCAACGAAGAATCCCGAATTTTCAACGTGTGCTACTGCATCAATAACGAGCTTGTGGAGTGTTTCCCCAGAAGCACTGCCGTTTGTTAAAAAACATCCTAGCGTTTGAACCCAGCTACCTTGGAATGGCTGATACATTATAACCAACGCGTGATCACCGATTGATTTTTCCCTATTTTCTGGAGTATAGGGACCCAGATCCGTGAAGCCCTTGAATGTCATTGTTGTTGAGTCGAAGAAGAGATTTTCACTCAGTTTCATTTCGTCGATTAATAATGCACCTATAATTAAATGTTTCGATTATTATCACAAGGAAGTGCAGGGAAAATATGAGGAAATATACCTTTCCTACTCGCTGGCGACATTCCTGTTGCCTTTAACATTAAACATTCAAATGCGGATTTTTGAAATCCATAGCGGCATTGGAGATTTTTTAAATAGTTGTTCAACGTATCGGGACATGGAAGAACGAGGATTTCCATTCGCCTCAAGTGGTCGTATAGAGCTTTACTTCTAATGCGAAATAAGATCCAATTATAAATCCACTCTGAAGTGTATCGCCTCTGTCGCGAATCTGCCAGTTTTGATGAGGCAAAACAAGCCCGAATAGCCTCCTGCATACCGGGTGGTAATTGTTTTATTGCCTGCTCGATCGTCTCTTCAGAAGAGGCGGCACAAACTTTTCGGGCACTCGTCAACTCTTGTTCTAGTTCTTCAATCTAATAAATGGATGCAAATTTCAAGAAGTGATCTCCTCAATAATAATGAATGCGTCACATATATTACCTTTAGTTTCAGAGACTTCTCGCGTCTACCACGTGCTTTCATTTTTCTTATTTTTTTTCTCCTTTCGTTCTTCTGCCCTCTTTTTCCTTTGGTTATCGGTCTTTTTTAAACGGCGTCGTTCCGCTCGACAAGAAAGACAATGTTGATAAGGACTGTAGTTCTTCGTATGTGCATTCTTCGGTGAAACAATCACCGAACATGAGGGGAAGCGGCTAGAATACATCAATTCAATTGACTGAAAATCTTAGCGGCCACAAAAATTAAACCCTTCGTTACTCAGTTTGGGTGGATGGCGTGCACTCGAAAAATTGCAAATCAAATTGATCCAAAGTGTATTTCGATCATAAAAATCTCTACAAAGAACAACAATGTAAAAAATTGTGATGCATTGGTTGAAATGTGATTTTTTCAATAATTTTCAATTCGTGATTTTAGACAGTGAGACATTCGCAACAAAAATTACTATGCTCGCCGTGCAAGAAAAGAGCTAAAAATGTACTTAGAAGATAGTTTGTCATGTCCCTCAAGCCCATGAAAAATCATGTCTATTTTCAAAAGGGTGAGGATCAGGGGTACTGATTTTACATGGACTCATATAAAAACCTGCATTTTACTCATCATTCCAGTAGTAGAGTGATAAAGGATAACAACTTGACTTATCTCCAGATCGAATTAGCAAAATAATTTCCGGAGGACCCTTTACGAAAAGAAAAGTTGGAGAAAAATTATCTAGAAAATCTCAGGAAATTTTACTATACGAAAGGTAATCGCTGAGCGAAATGTAATTCAATGATAAAAACATTCTTTACGAGTCGTTCGGTAAAAAAAAATCACATTTGTGGATGCCAAAATAGTTCCATGTACAATAAGATTTCCCTTGCCGGGACGTTCTTTCCCCAGCATCGATGCGAAGGACACGGAGAAAAGCGAAATTTTATCACACCACTTTTCGGTATAAAAAAATCCTTCTTTGTCATTAAATTCAACATTCCACATGATGTGATACTCACCTCTGATTTACGTTATTTAGTGAAGCTCCTACACAAATTTGAATCTTCGAGGCTTCTTGTAACGTAGCTTTCAGATGGGCGTAATCCTTGATCGCATCTTTAAAGAAATTAGCTGCAGCAAGTATGTTTTCGAGGTCAGTGGACATTGATATATACTTCTTCCTAAATTCTACAAACCATAACTGTAACATGCATTTCTCTAAAACTTAGGAAATTTCGCCTCATTTCTAAAGAATCAGTGTATGGAAGCAATCATCAAAATTGTTATACGTGTAAGGTGACTTTTTTTCTATCGGGACAGGAAGAAGTACAGTAATTAGCGGCAGAACGGGATCGTGGATTTGAGTGGTGGGGACTACGAGTGAGAGTGGAAATTTGCTAGAGTGGGGTTGACGTTTCACGATCCCTTTCTGGCACTAAGCTTTTCTGATAGATCACTTTTAATTACAAGTTATTTCATTGTTTTTTTCAGAATTTAAATGCCCTGAAAATAGGAAAAAATGGATTTGGTTGTGGATAGAGATATTTCTAAGTCAAATAGGAAAATTGCTCGAAATAAGAATAATTACGTAGTGATTCTACGAAACTTCCGATAAAAACCATCCAAAAATACGCTAGTTATTATCATTCCATGAAAGATGCGGGTTGATAAAAGGAGCTTCTTGAATCTATCCTATTCGTTATACATAGAAAAAAAATTCTCAGTGTTTAAGGTGAACCCCACAATAGATACTTTTCGTTGGTAATTCATTCAACTATATGAAAAACTCCCATTATTTTTGTCTTGAACTATTTTTTTTCTCTAGATGAAAATTCAATTCATGACAATTCTCCACTTCTAATCACTTCCGTCATCCTGTGCGTTAACGCGGCCGTACGCCAGGATTTAAATGAGCAAGTTTCATGATGAAAAAAAAATCAAATGCTTATCGCAGCACTGAGATTAGAATAAACAATGCTAAATATACGTGTATCCATCGTATAGAGGTCTGATAGAGGAAATTCGATTCTCCAAGCATTACACAGGTAGCTCCAATTGGTTGGCAGTCTATAATTGTCCACATCACAATGATTGCGAGATCGAGATACGCGATAGCGTATCGGCCAAGAAAAGTTTTGACCGACTGAGCAAAACATCAGGCCGAACGCACCGCGTATCTATACACGAAGCAACTACCCCCTCCACCCTACGAAAAAAATACCCTACGAAAAAAATAGCCTTAGTTACATCACATAAATCGGCCACGAGCTTTCCATTGATATCAGTATTTCCTTTTTCGACTTAATATTAAGGAAATTACGCGCATAGCAACGGAATCGTATCCACATTCTCGCATTTCACATTATCTCTGAGCAGTGTGATATTTCGTTTTCGAAGTTGGTAGCAGTGCGCTCCAACCTCACGTGCACAGGAGGGAGATTTGAATAGCGCATTACTCTTTCTCTCTCCTTCTTGAATTCTACGGATTTACATTTTTTAGACTCATCATCGACTTATTGTAAAAATTAATGAAAAATTGATGAACAAGGTCATATAGCGCTGTATATTGCATAGAAATTTTTCCCCTATCCTCGATTAATTTAGATTTTCAACTCAGTCCGTGAATAGCATGTGGGCGAGTTTATTTCTGAGGTTATTTTACGCGGGTAATTTGCACGTTCGATTTTCTCATGAAATTCTCAAATCGAATCGGAGCATGAATTATAAATAAATGTAGGAAAGAAATACCTTTTTTTCTTAGAGCAGAAGTGATTGAAAATAGTTTCTGTTGCGCGGAAAAAAATCAATTCGATTCATACGAAAATGATCGTGTGCTCGTTTTGGAAAAATGACTGAAATCTCCCAAAAAAACAAAAACAAATGTTTTTGCAAAAAAACTGGGCCAAGAAAAAGTTTTGTGGGGTCGTTTCTGGAAAGAAGAAACCTTTTTTTCTGGAAACCACAATTCCCATAGAAATTTTGCAAAAAATAAACAAATAAAAATCAAAGCCAAGTCAAGAAATGTCCAATGGATCATGGAATGTGCTATCAGATTATTATGGGGAGGATAACTCTGAATAGAAGGATTTTCAAAAAAATCTTCATAAAATAAAAAATTCAGTAGAGACAGGATTCAAAGTTCTTGGCGCGGAGTTTTCCAACTCATTGTCTCGTATCAATCTGTATCTTCTGATCCGCGCCAAGAACTTTGAATCCTGTCTCTACTGAATTTCTTATTTTATGAAGATTTTTTTGAAAATCCTTCTATTCAGAGTTATCCTCCCCATAATAATCTGATAGCACATTCCATGATCCATTGGACATTTCTTGACTTGGCTTTGATTTTTATTTGTTTATTTTTTGCAAAATTTCTATGGGAATTGTGGTTTCCAGAAAAAAATGTTTCTTCTTTCCAGAAACGACCCTACAAAACTTTTTCTTGGGGCAGTTTTTTTGCAAAAACATTTGTTTTTGTTTGGAATGAAGGAATGATTATTTGCGGACGGAACAAATTTTTCAAAAAAATGAATATAGAAAAGGAAAAGAATGACGAAGGTCCAGTAGAACAAACGTTGTATCTCAATCGACTGTTCGCAACTAAACTGAAATGTTTTCATCAACGAGTGATGTGTTTTGACCTGACACCAAATAAAATAACTCACCCCCTCGATGATTTTATTGCAGTAGGTCATCGGGTAAAGAATGGACCCCTTCAAGACTAAGTTCTACCAGGTATAATGACTGCAAAGCGGTTACCTGCACCAACATCTGGAGTATTGCAACTAAAAATTTTATTTTTTTCATATTTACTGCCCTATTGGAGCAATTTTTTCTCAATCCGGGCGCCCATTTGTTGAATATCTTCGAA